GTCTGTGAATGTTCAGCTTCTTCCTCGCGTGACTGCATTGTTCTCACTGCGATCTGGGGAACCCCTTCTCAGTCCCCAGGGTGTGCCACTGCTGACAAAGGCTCAGGGGCACATTAGTAGAATCCAGAATTCTTTCAGACAGAAGAGGAAAAGAACGGCAGCCAAATTCTCTAATCAAAGTGACAAGTAATTAACCTCTGCCAGTAATAAAACAGCATTCAACGTTCTTTCTCAGACTCCCTTTATCAGTTGTGGCGACAGATGGCGACGGTTTTATTTGCGTATGAACGACTGTGATTTGATTGACCATCACTAAATAAGGTCTGCTCTTCCTCTTGTGGGAACATCCAAGCATTTGCCAACAACCTAACTAGAAATATCATTGCAATTCAGCACATCAGAAAAACTACAAATGAGAGGGGGCCATTTGGTCCACTGGGCTCAGTTACTTCCATTTCTGTATAATCACACAGCCACAGCTACCTAGTACAGTACTTACCGCACAAGTCAGTAATAATGGGAACCATCTCAATCATAATAATGATAATAATAATAATAATAATAATAATAATAATAATAATAATAATAATAATAATAGCTTACACTTATACTCAAAGCGCTTTACAGGTAATGGGGACTCCCTTCCACCACCACCAGTGTGCAGCCCCACCTGGATGATGCGACGGCAGCCATAGTGCGCCAGAACGCTCACCACACATCAGCTATCAGTGGGGAGGAGAGCAGAGTAATGAAGCCAATTCATAGAGGGGGATTATTAGGAGGCCATGATTGGTAAGGGCCAATGGGAAATTTGGCCAGGACGCCGGGGTTACACCCCTACTCTTTTCGAGAAACACCCTGGGATTTTTAATGACTATAGAGAGTCAGGACCTCAGTTTTATGTCTCATCTGAAGGATGGTGCCTTCTGACAGTAAAGTGTCCCGTCACTATACTGGGGCATTAGGACCCACACAGACTGTAGGGTGAGCGCCCCCTGCTGGCCCCATCCAGGTAGCTGATGAACTCCAGTGGGCTGCCAGTTGTGAGTTGCAGGGTGATATGGCTGCTGGCAAGCTCCTTGAGTATGAATTCCACTTGAAACTCTATGAAAAGGAACTTGTTACAGCAGCCAATTACCCACATATTGGCAATGTCCACTAAAGTGAGGAACACAAAATCATTTTTAACATCTGAATTTCTAAATTACCTATACAAGACATGAAGGAAAGTATTTCTTCAAAAAGTAAATCCAAGGAGACAAACCCGTAGTCGTAGGCCCCTTATTGAAATTCTAAATTGCTGTGCTCTGTGGCCTAATTGTTTTACTCATCAAGATAACGGCTAGATTGAGTAGATGTATCAAGATTTTATCCTTATTTACGGACATCAAATAATAAACCCTGTTTAATTCATTAAACCCTACAGGAGCAATGTGTACATTTTGAGTAGGTTTGGTCATCCTGCTAAGGAGATTCTACTAATAAAGAACAGAGCTTTATTAGGTTTTTTTTTATATCAATTGACAAAAAAATACAAAACTTTGTGCAGTTTGCCTGCCTGATTCCTCCTTTGCAAACCAATATTAAAGCCTGCCATTCTGACTAGGAAGCTCCTGCTTAACAGCCTGTTGGAATCTTGGAATCTTGTTTAAATTGGATTTTGGTTTATAAAACAAGAAACACCAGCATTCGGTCAAATATTTCCTGCAGCAAATACTAAGGGATGATCAAACCAAAAAAAAACACACAGACCGGCCCTCGCTGTTTGAAAAACAGAATGTTCCTGCTTGGTGGGGTGGAAGCCTGTGTGCATAAATAAGGAACCATCAACCTACAAGGTGAAAAAAAGGAACATAGTTCAAAACAAGTGCTAAGCAAATGTGTGTGAAATTCCATGTCATTGAGAGGAATATTTCCCTGGGGCTTTGATTGTATACAGAACTAAAGCTCTCTGAAAGTCAAAGGTCTTTGATTACACTGATAGCTGTCCAATGATAACATGGCAATTCCTCCTTGCAGTCAAGGTTTTCTCATGTACATCATGGCGGTAGCTTTGTTATTTGGAAGCAGCAGACAACACATTCTTGGGCACAGATTATGGTTATTTACAAAGGGAACTGGATCACTCCAGCTTCACCAGAGAAGTGCACCCAAGTCGCAATATCCAGACAGCTGGAACAGTCTTCACCCTGCCCTTAGCCTGAGACGGTCTTGCAAATCTGTGAGAAGACATTCCATTAGTCAAACAGATTTATCTGTTGTGAGGCTCTTCTCTATCACATTTTAAATACACAGTAGGGCCAGGAACCGGCTGCACAGGCTTTCTGAAGGCTAAGGGAGAGGAAAGGGGTACTTAACCCTGACAAGGACACCCCTTGAAGCTGTAAAATAATCCCAAGACTTGACCGTACTGATGGCCTTTTAAACAAGTAGTGCAGTCTATCTTAAGGATTTGGGGACTTTAAAAAGTTGAATTATGTAAACATTTGGACTATTAAGCCAATTAATCTCAGCTGTAAAATCCTTCACAAAGCAAACTGTGTTTGGGATAAAAGCTGGCAATGTCAGTGTCTGGCTGATACTGGTTAACTGGTTTGATTTGCCAATTTTCCATGCAGCCAGTTTTACCTTTTTGATTTGACATGTAATTTGGCAGGAGGGGAAGTATATCTGACCATGGTGATACTGAATATAAAGTTTTAAGAACGGAAATATAATCTAAAATAAAAACAGTATTTGTTAAAAAAAAAGTAATGGGATTTCCTGTTTCAGTTAAAGTGATGTTTTCCAATAGGATCACTTGGAAGTGAATTTACACAATTACCAGATCATCATACAGTTAAACTAAAAAGAAACGGTCAACTACATAGAATTAAACATGAGCAATATTCTGTTTTTTTGCATCTGTAGAAATTTACTTCCCTGAGTGAAATAAGTAGAAATTTGAAATTCCAGTGAGTAAACCATAACAAATATTATGATTCTCCTGAACAGATTTTCAAGTCTTTTTGGAGAGAGCTGTATACTTTACAAAGAAAAAAAAAACTGAGCACAATCAGCCTGATTTACATCTTAGGACGTGATGTTTCACTGACTGTGTGATTCAGCATCTGGAAACTGTTAGAAACAATCCTCATTATAACATCTTAAATTGATAAAACATAAGTCATAGCCCTCCTGCAGTGCAACTCTACTGATCTTCATGGCTTCTAATATACAATTGCCCGATGTTATCTCCAGCATGCCAAAGCTTATCATCAGCAGGACCGATGTTTGAAAAATACTTGCACAAACCTTGAAAAAACAACTATTATAGGTTTTGTGGAGAATGCATAATTTAAAGAGCAGATTGTATTACATGGTGTCTAAGAAAAAGCCATTGCTGGCATGCATCAGTATGGACCCAATATCAATAATACCTAAGAGCTAACTGAGAATCGTGATATTCAAGTATGTACCATAATTTAAATATTTGTTTCACAGTTACGTTCATAAGTCAAAGAAAGGAGCTGAGAAACTCTACTATCAGTTTCAGCACTATGCTGCAGACAAACAGGTCTCATCTAAGTAAGCCTTTTTAGTTCCCAGTATTTATTCCCTGCACAATACTGTACATCTGAAAATAAAAAGTTTTCTTTACTTGGACTATGGGAAACGAAGGTGAAGACACATCACCATGTACCTGCTGTGTATCAGTGCAGGTGTCTTTCTCTAGCATGCTCTACTTGTAAAGGTGGGCCATACACAGACTAAACAAACAAGGTTCAAATTCAAAGTTCCTCTTTCCATTGTGCTGCAGACTCTCAGTTTCTTGACCATTTTGACGCTGGTTCTTCTCCTAAAGAAAAGCTCAGCTCCAAGCTCTCTTTTATCACTCCTATCTTCCTTTCAAGAAAGGAGCAAACACACATTAATTCCACACCGAGAACCAGAAAGAGAAAATGCACAGTGTCTCGTCCATTGAGCCTTCTTCAGACATCTGAAGAAGGCGTGACAACCAAATCATTGTGTTTTTCCTTTCTGCTGTTCAGTGTGGAATTAACCTTGGCTTATTCTTGAACAGCCCACACACACTGGTGAAGCTCTCCAATCAAACCTCTTCGGCTCTAGAGATAATTTTCTGTTATCATCTTTTAGACTAACACCGTGAAATCAAATAGAACAATAGCAACACACCTACTAGAGCAACACATGACAGATTTTAAAGGTGAATGTCTGTGAAAACAGCCCATCATTTATTCTGAGAAATTAATGTCTGCATGGACATTCTCCTACTACACCATTAACCCGGTTTCCTTATCCACAGTGATCAAAGGGCTTTGAGCAGGTTTCATGCCAACAGGTAATGTGAGCATTACAGAAACAGTGGGCATTCAAATTAATTTTTTATTCTTCTAAGAATAATTACTGGTGTCCTGAGACTGGAAGAGATCATGAATCTCAATGAGAAGACAATTTCTTCGTTTGTTGTTGTTGACAGTCCTTTAGAGATCAAAGATAATGAAATGATAATCTGAGGTCAACCCATTGCCTTGAGGATCATTTTTAAAACCTATATTATCTGCTTTTAAATTCTACGGCATTATTATACATGTTGAATATGAAAAAGGCAATATTAAATATGATAAGGGATATTCATAAATACATGATTAGTATTTTAAAAACTGTTGAAGGGTGATATTTTTTTCTAGGATATCCCTTGTACATAAGACTCTCAAAGAAATAGTCTATACAACACCACATTGTCAAAACCAAAATAAGCACTTTGCTACAAGGCAGCAAAGAACTATTTTTCATTTTGTAACCTCTGAAAAAATATATAAATATAAGAATTTGTCATTTGATTTTTTTCTTTCTTTTGTTTCTTTGTGAACCCCCTTCTAATGATTTTAGTCAACTGTCCTCGCAAAACCCTTAATATTGATGTTTTCAATTTTGTGGAAAACACAGTCTATAAAAATATTTGAGATTCATTAAATATTACTTTTGTCTAAATGATTTTTAAAAAATCCAAATGTTTTTTTGTTTGTTTCATTTACACTTCAGGATGTATTGTATAAATATTGTATAAAATAAGGCAGTCTTTCAGTAGGATATTAGATAGAAAATGTTCTGGGAGAAAGATTTTTTTTTCCAGGTCCACACATGGTTTATAGAGCTCCTCTATTGTCCACAGCAGAGAAGTTTACATCATCACCCAACAGGTGTATGTCTGGGCCAACTCTGTCACTGGTGAGCAGGCACGCTCACTCAGAAGAGATCAATCACCATACATCAAGTTCCCAGTTACATCATCCCTCTCATGGACAAAACACTACAACGTACATTTCTATTCATTACAGTGCAATAGAAAGGTGTCGTTCTAATTCATGTTTTGCATTAAGAAAATAAAAAGTCTATACATTAGTAAAATCTATACTCATGGATATGACTCTCATAAAACTGTAATCCTTCTGTAAGTCAGCTTTGGCTTTTCTTTTCTTTTTAAGTACTCATGAATTTATAGAAAATATCGAACAACCAAAACAAAATAAATAAACCCTAATGTCTAAATCACAAAACGCTAATGATCCGAGACGGGAAAGGTTTTCATCTCTCAAACAGCGGCCCCAAACACTCCACCCACCCAGGAAATGCCCCCTCCACCCCACCCTGGGACTGCCTTGTCGGGCTACGAATCTGCCCCATGACAGAGGAGAGAAGCAGGCTTCAAGTCCAGGGATCGGTAGACGTGTAGGGTTTTTCTTAAAAATAAAGAAAAGCTTAAACGACTCTGGAGTGTAGAAGCAGTTTTGTAGCATTTATAGGTTTAAGAAAGTTAAACTTTCATCCAGCCAGCATCTCGGCAACAAACAAAGGCTTAAAGGATTTTTTTTTGCTTTGTGAAATCTTTCCACTTGTCCTGGAACAAGAGCCATCTCTTGCTGTAAGTGTGAAGCAAACATGGCCGGGCCAGCAAGCCAGTCTTCTCCTTTGCTTTGCTGTTGTTACTGGTATGGCCAGGGCAACAACTTCTGCTCTGGATCACCCTGCCATGAGACACTGCTTCAAAGGACAGTCAGAACCACCCCTCAGAACCTGAATGTTTTGGATTGTCACAGCAATCAGGAACCAGTTTCAAACGTTTCTGTTGTTGTGGTTATTTTTTGTTTACGCTTGTGTTCGTCTGGCGATTCTCTGTGCATTCGTGTAGAGGACACAAGTCAAGGGTTTGAAGGACACGTTGCCTGGCAACACTGCAGCCTCGCAGGGACGAGGGAACGGCGGGCCGGCATTGGTGAAGACGGCCGCCCAGCGAGGGCACCCAGTCCGATTCGGAGAGAGGACAGACCCGCATGCCCGGGACACTATTCCGGAGGAGGCCGGAGACTGCGCAGCTTCTGTTCATCCAGACTTTTCCAATACTTAAAGTTGTTATCCAGGTGCTGCATTAGGTTCGGTAGATCTGCAAATGCTAGAAAGAAAAGCAAAAAAAACCGGGAAACACTAATAAGTAAGAGCCAGGAAGCATTCTGTAGTGTAAATGTCTTTCGCATTTCGATAATACAGTAGGAGCACAGCTTGATACAAAATGGAAAATGCTACAGTCTGAAGTTTTACATCAACAGCACATCTATAATTCCTTCTACTTTTTAAATAATGAAAAGTAGATAGATAAAGGTAGATGTAAAATTCTTTGACTCATATTGCTCATTGGAAAATATTGAGAATATAATCAGCAGAGCAGTGCGGAGACAACATGAGCCAGGCCAAGTTCTGGAAGTGTTCATCAGTCTAATCTATCTGTGTGGTCATTTGCAGACTGCAGTGGCACTACAGCATGTAGATTTCCAGGAAAAAATGGCTCAAGTTTCAAGAATAGCTAAGACAATATGTGAGGTGATGGCAGGGAGAGTGGCGGAGGGTTTTATCCAACCAACGACAGCCACAGTGCCCTTGAGAGACCTGATGGAAGACAACAACATGTGTGGGGGCACCATGCTGACGGTAAGAAGCGTGTTGATATGGGGAAGAATTCCTGTAACAAATGCGAGTGCGGCTTGGAAAACTGACCGCTTTCCCATTCGTTCAAGCCAATCCAGACATGTTGATCCTCCCCGACATAACAATGCCAGACCACACAGGGCTAGAATTACAGTGGCAACACTTCAACTAGACATTTTGCTGTCGGTCTTGCTGTGGACAGCTTCTTCTCCTGATCTGAATCCAGCAGAGTGTCTGCGCGACCTGCTTGCCAATATGCTCATCGGAACACATCTCTGACCCACCAGCCTTCAGCAGCTGGCTGCAGCTACACGGGAGGGCTGCTGGACCTCCCACAGCTGGGTGTCCAGAAGCTGATCAGCCATAACACACACTATCGCATTTCACATTGAAATATTTGTGTTTCCTGTGACTTTATTTTCCATTTTAAAAAAATTAGTTGTTTTTAATCAGCATTGTTGCTGATGTCTACGTAGGTCTTTCTAGGTCTGGAGAGCTGCTAGATACAGTAGTGTCAGATTGGCTCAGTTAAGCCAACAATGAGCTGGCTAAGGTCTCAAAGAACTAAGCTGAGAAGAAACTTTGCAGACACTCCAGCCCTACAGGACAGCTGTTCGATAGTTCAGGATTTAAATATTTTTTTTAAATGATTTCCCACGGGACCCTCCAGAAACTGAAATAACCATTGACTGGAAAAAAAGCACAAAAAAATACAAAAAGAATCTTCACGTATATTATTATATTATATATTATATTATACAAACATCATTTGTCATACATCAACAAGCAAAAATCAATGGGAAAAGTCTTTTTTGTTCACAAATGCTCTGATCTGTGATTACAAGCTCATGATCACATTTCTTTCACTCGAGTATTTTCTAATGGTTTTTTTGACAGCCTTGAATTGTGGCATCACACATTCTAGGCTCTGAGCCTCTTGGATACCATGAGGTCCGGTGTCCTGGTGTCCAGACTGGCCTCAGTGTGCAGCTCTACACCTACAGCGCCATGCCCCTATCATCTTTTCACCACACCCCTCCACTGCTCTGTCTCTGCGCACATCAGAGAGAAGCTCCAATCAGCAAGACCCATCAAAAATTGTTAATTACATCGCATTAAAAATAAATTTGGAACATCCTGTTTTTTTGGAATAAAAGCAGTGGGAGACGGGTTAAAACATTAGACAAGCAGATGACAGATGCTTACCATCCCAGGCATCGAACATGTCAGTGATGAAGTAGTCGATGAAGGATATCTGGGACTTGGGAATGCTGCAGGTGTTTCTGTCAAACACGGGCATCACCACAGGTAAGCCCTGCCGTTTCTCTTCATCTGTCTGCGCAGGAAACAGGACCAACAGAAGCGCCTCCACATGACTCCGGCTTATTTCCAACACAAACCCGCAAATGCTACTAGTATGAACATATGTTGCAGCTTGAATTATTAATGTCTTAAACTGAAGCTTTCATTTCTTTCTCATCAAGGTGACACGATGGTAATATCTGACAGATCCTGTCCTTTTTTCTTCCCTCTTTCAGACCCTGCCCTTGCTTACCTGTGCAAAGTATTCCTCTGAAATGCGACCCGCCCACTCAATACACAGTTCTAGTGGTCTGCAAGGATTGGAGATGTCTGCACACTTTATCAGCATCCGTTTGACCAGAATCCGATTCTCCGGAGAGGTTAAAATACTTTTGACTGAATCGCCATCTCCATTTCCCTACCAAAAGAAGGGGTGGGGGAAATCAGAGCATAAAATGATAACGAGACCCGATTCAAGCATGTGTGCACCGTTAATCCAATCCAAGAATGTTTGCAGAAAAAAATGCAATAAACTGTATATAATCAATAACAAGAAACATTACCTATTTGATCAAGTCATAGTATTACAGTAAGTTGTTTTGCAAGATATTATTTTCTCTTGAGATTTCATGGTTTTCATTAAAAAGATCTCAGATCTTTTAAAACCCTCTTGCCTTGCATTCCACACTCAGGTGTGAATCCTGGTACCTGCCTGTAAAATTCTAGCACCAGGCAGCTACCAGAGCCCATTGAGAGGAAAGACAGAGTGATTTTAAATTAGGAAATCTTTTACCTGAATAAACTCACCTTTTTGTACTTATCTGCATGTGACAATTTGTTTGTTGCAATACCAGAAAAACTGCATGAACACATTCACAAGCGCAAGTGTGAAAACTGAAGCACAGTGTGAAACTCATGAATGTGAAACTTGGGTTTTGTTTAGTGATTTAACTCCATTGGGACCTTGATTAACTTGGAAAGCACACTTTTCTCCTTCCCACCCACCACAGGCAAACTCAATTAATTCTGCTGTGGATGACAATACTATATATGACATAGTGTAGATTCAAACACGCAGAATTTTACAAACCAACAAATCCTTTGTTTGCAGCAGGTGATCTGGTCACAAAAGGAAAATGTTATTTTATCTGCATATACAAAATATTTAGATGATTACATTTAAAATGTGAGATAGGCAGTATGTGAATGAGTTCTGCTAATTTCTTTGAATTAATTCACTGAAATATGTCTGTTCTAACAGAAGAAAACCATCAGCGGAGCTGACCTTCGACTCCTCTTACCTCGTTCTCTTCCTGTGCTGCCAGGGGTTTGTTGATGCTATTCACAAATTTGTTGACGTGCTCAAAGTGCTTCGTCATCTCCGTGGCCAGAACCATGTCAATGATTGCTTGTCGGAGTGTCCGATACTCGTTTCTTTTCAACAGTGAACAAAGCAAAGGCACAGAGACTTCTTTTGCTGTTGTCATACAAACTCGTCATCAAAGAGTCCGCGCATGTTAAAGAGAGCAGACCGAGATTAAATGCTAAAAGCACATAGCAGCCGATTTTCACATGATCACTGGAAAAAAGGATGCACTGTTCCTGAAAACACTGCCGTCAGTACTGTACTGTCACACACAGTACACAAACGTACTGTCAGCTGACTGCTTTCTGTGTGCCAGTGTTCACACTACAATTGTGTCAAATGCATTTGATTAAACTAGTGTTTAGTAAGGCCCGCTTTAGAAATATTGTATCAGAGCATATTTAACGCTCTAGGTTTTTCAGTTGCAATGAATTTGGAAGCAAAATTAACACCACAAATTAGTTTTTATAAAAATCTATTCATTTCCAAAGAATATATTCATGTCGCCATACAGTTGGTTGGTCTACATAAAAGCAGATTGTATGAAATTGTGAAATATATACTGCTGCACAAGTCTTAAATGTTGTAGTATCATACTATTTACAAACAATAAATGTCCTTGCTTATGCAGAAACAATTGTCTACTTAAATTGTAATCCTGCTAGAATTGTAGTGTGTAGTACAAACAGTAGCTTTATAGTTTTATAAATCTGTAAAGAATAAGTAATGTTAATGACAAAGAATGCTTTACAATGTGCTGATCGGATTTGCTTCATATTGGTTTTTAATGTACGGTTTACCCTGAATTGTTGTGAACAAATTCTTTGTGAAAGACTTGTTGTGTTGTGAAAGATTCTTAACTAACAAGCTGTTTCTTCTCACGACAGCTGTTATAGTAGTAAAGAAAACACTCGAGGAAGGTTTGGATAAATTATTAATGATCTTGACACATATTTTAACTTATGATTGTGCCCAAGAAGACTTCATTTTTCCTGCAGTATATTTAAAATAAATGTAAACAGTCATAATTTCTAATAAATCTAGACATGTCATTTAAGTATTACATGTTCAAATGTGCTCTGTAAGCAGGAATCAGAGAGGAGACCATTCTTTTCATTTTCACGTTCAGTGCAAAGGTATATAGGAGATGCACATTGCATATCAGAGAGATGCTGTTCCATGAAATTCTCTCCATGAATACATTCCCAGAGGATGCACTGACAGGAGGGTGTCTTGGTGTTCTTAACACAGAGCTAAGACTAACTCTGCTCTGAATCTGCGAGCAAGGAGGCCTCACCTCTCCATATTTTTGAAGATGTTGCACTTGTCGTCGCGGGTGGTGAGCTGGAAGGCCAGGGCCGCATGGTGGCTCTCCAGCACGGCCGTGTCATTGTACAGGACGGCCAGCTCGCTCCCGGCGTTGCACAGGAAGGAGTTCGTCCTCCCGGGATGGTCGACGTCGTGGACGGTGGCAGCGATGAGCGCCGCGACTTCATCGATCTGATCCAGGCTTTGCTGCAGGGGAGACGAAAACACACCTCAGATTCCAAAAGAAATCCTACTGTCCGTCCAGTTCTATCTTTATCTGTCTTTGTAAAACCTGCACCACACGCCTTGCAAAGTGTTACACTCTTAAGCAAATGCAATCAGCAAGTGTTCATTGTCACTGACATCACTTCTTCTTTTTACCACATTTATAAAACGATAAGGCTACTTTTTGTACTACACACTACAAGTCTAAGACGCTTAACTGCCCACTGAAAAAATGGCTAAAATCTCATCAGAAAACTGTTTCTGCATAAAAAAGGAAAAAACATTGTTTGAAAACAGTAGCATACTGCAACATTTAAGACCTCTGCGCAGCAGTGTATATTTCACAATTTCACAATCTCCCCTGTGTCTCGAGCCCTCACTAGCTACCTTCTCAGTAGGTGGCACTGTGGTCCAGGGAGATAAATCAACCCCTCTACCCTCCTGTCAGTCTCATGGAGGCTCCAGGGCCTTGTGCTTGCCTTCCTTGGCCTCCAACATTACTTTCACCACCACATGCGTAGAAATATCCCCTGCTTAATGTACTGCGATTCCCCAGTCATGAAAAATTAAATGACACTTTTTATATAAGTCCTGAAAGCAAGCTGTGTGCAAGCGTCTTGTCTGCTATTTAAAAAGACAAAACAGTCTATGTCTGAATGTTTTTTCCATCCCGAGAGACAGGAGCAGTCACTGACCTTCACTCTCTCCTTACAGAGGAAATAGGCTGTGGCGTGCAGCACGTCAGCGGCGTGTGTGGAGTTGTGGTACGAGTTGCTTGAATGATAGTTTGCTTCAATCACCTGGAGCCAGGATCTCAAGGTCGCCTCAGGGCAGTTTAAGAATTCACAAACCCCAAACCGCGAAAATACTTTCAGGCCCAGATAAACCAAAGGCCTAAGAGATTACAAATGAAAAAAAAAAAGCTGCTTAATTCCACACTTCCCCCTTTCTTTATTGCTGAACAAAAGTTGCATGCATCTCAACGTCACCTACAAATCTCTTTGCACACCTCAGAAGCCTCAAATAAAAGGGATTTCAGCTGCAATATGTAAACTGCATTAAAAACATTTAAAAGGAAAGTCTGCAAAAACAAAATTTCGAAAATTCGGTTTCCTGTTCATAGCACAAGGAAAACGCTCTGCAGTTGTTTTGCTTCTGCACCTCCCTGTACCAGTTCACGTCTTAGCATTCTGGTCCAAACAGCAGACAACCTGTGCAGGTGTTCCCAGCTGTGGGGACTCAGAACAATGTCTCCTATTCTGCACAGCTGTGTCAACTTGAACACCTCTGGCAAATAAGAGGACTGGGAGGTGCAAGCAAGCTGATGAAATCCATCAAAGTGAAGTGAGGGCAAGAACAAGTGAGAAGAACAGAAGAGACTTGCCACCTCTGTATTAAATGAAAGAAGCCACTCCCAGTTGCTTTAACTTTAACTTAAATTTGTTTAAAAGAAGTTACCGTTTTGTGGTTTACGGGGATAAAACACAGTTTATGAACAAAAAAAACTGTTTAAACTGATGTCTGTCCTGATTCTTAGTGTCTTAAGATCATTATTTTTAAGAGGCGAACAAGATCACTTGCAGTAGATTTTCTGCAGTACCACATCACCAGACCACTCGACTTGGTGATGGACCCCCAGCTTGTGAAAGAAAGGTATTTTGATACGGTCTGATAACTGCAATCTTAAACTCTCTCTGAGACGACAGCAGAGGTAGTGTGCAACTTACCTTTTTATTGTGGCAGCCTCTAAACTGAAGATATCAAAGTCCCAGGAGTCCTCATTTTCCATAGTCTGAGCGACCCGTGGCGGAATGTCATTGAGCGACAGTGGGGTGATCAAATGACTCGGAATATGATGGGGATCTGTGTAAAGAAAAATAATTTGATTCCCCGTGTTCTCTACAAAAAACGCTGAGATTGTCAGATGAAAGATTACCCCACGTCCCGTGATTTAATCAAAACTTATTTCCCTGAAAGGCCACTGTATATTTTAGCAAGACTGCAAACACTGGTTTCTCAGTATACTGCAGTTATGAATCTCTTCCAGGTTGAAGGATATAGCCTCCTACCTGTGTGTGTACACCAGGGGTGCCAACTCACTGTAATTTACAAGCATTTACAGTTTGTAAAAAAAAAAAGGTCTAATTTTATAACTCTCCGAAATTCTGTAAAACCAAAAAAGCATGGAAACAAAGCAGTGCTGTTGCAGCTGCTGCATGAAGGAGAGCAAAAATAGAGCAAAAATGCAGCAGACAAGCAAAATGCAATAACACCAGTGCAAAACTGAGAGGCCCCAGTTGATATATCCATAAAAACAGGATTGGCAACCCTTGTGTACTCTGGACAGCGGCTCCTCTTCACCTCCCAAGGAGGAGCTGCACGCAGCCGAAGCAACCTGTTAGTGCAGATTTCGCATCCCTGTTCCCGGAGAGCCTCAGAAATGAGCCATTGGTCAAGACTCAGAGCACAGGTGAGATTTGATCAAATTAGTATGTTAACTGGTTCAATTAAATTCGGAATGGCCAGCTAGGGACCCCAAGAGCTACGCTGGGCATTTCGATTAGCATTTATATAATCTCTAAACTGCCTAGTTGAACAAGTCACCTGCTGACGTAGCAAAAATACATTTGCTCTGCCGTTTGTTAAAAGTGGGTTTTAAAAATGAAGACTGTAAGGGGGACCTGTAAAACTTGCTGGGCTGTTGCTGTTCCGCTGGTCTAAAGAATATTGAATTTCACCTTTCACCGTTTACAGCATCACAGGGCCTGTGTAACAGGGAATTCAGCCAGCACTCCCGTTCACAAACCGTATTCTACTCCCCCTGAGCATCACAAATGGGCTGTTCCGTTTAAACAATAAATTAGCAAAAGAACTGCCGTGTCTAGATCCTTACGTTTTGTGGCAAAGATGTACTCATTCCCAGATAACCTCCGCAGCCCGTCCTGGGAAAAAAAAGACAATGCATTAACTTTTGGAAAATCATATACTGTAACTAGGTCAAGCAGTACCCATGAAAGCTTTCAAAAAGGTGAGATAGCAATAATACAATATTCAATTCAAAGTACCAGATTACCCTTTACCATCTCTCCTGGGCCTCGATATCTCAATACAGTACAGTCAGGCCCAGCAATGTCTCTTGAGAGTCACAGTCCTATAATTTATAGAATTCATATAGGGCTATCCAGCCACCATCATCATCATAAAGAAAAAAAGAACACCTTAAAACAATGTACCATTAAAGCCACTATATAAAACATTGCTATTATAAATAAACAGCAGCTGCTGCAGACTAACAATAGTCCTCATGCTTTTTCCATGATCTCGCAGATCTAAATAAATTTTACTCTCCATTTATCACGGATTTACAGCAAAGGTTTACAAGGGCATCTTATATTATCTGTTACGTCACTAAAGACCCAGCACAGCAAATATTAAATTAGGAACTCTTCTAAAGTTATGATGTTTGAATACCCAGTTGATGTCAAAATGCAATATAAATTTCAATCTTATTTAAATGTATTTAATAATACTACTGTGACAGGCAGTCTGCTGAAATCACGGCCTGAGGGAAGCCTGCTGAAGGTCCTTATAATCATGACACCTGACAGCTGGGCTCTTCTCTCTTTAAATCTGTTCCCTGGTAGCAGGTGTGTGAGGCAGGTTACAGAGCACCAGGGAGCTCTAGAGAAAGCATTCGAACAAGACAAGGGTCAAAGCCACTGAACCTGGGAGCCGAGGATCTAACACGGAAGCAAAGGGCCACTAGGAGACAGCTAGGCAAGCTGCTGAGCCACTCAAGATTTCTGGTCTTACACTTTGAACCTCTTTGGGGAAACCAAATTATTTTGGTTATGAGAATAGAGAGCGACACTGTTACAAGGCCTGTAGTCAGCTCTCGACCCCTTTGTTGCCCAGCCTCTAACAGCAATAAATGACTTGCACATCATACCACGTCTTGAAAAAGGCCTCTAGGCTCCAGACAGTAGCCATTTTAACATGCATCCTTAATGCCGATAAAAACTCTACCAGCTGCACCCTTGTTACTCACTCAAATTCCTTATTTAAACAGTACATCATGCACATTTCAAACAGAAGTTACTAAAATATCACCTGGTATCCAGTCTGCTACCTTACTTCACATCCCTAGAACATTTGCTCAAACAGTATTTTACTGTTGTTTAACAAAGAACGTATTGACTTTCCTAATGTGTATGTTATTGAAAGCACTGTTTACTTGTACAGGAGGGAAGGAAGTAAAACTAGGTTCATCTTTGACCCCCTGTATTGTCTAGATGTGTAAGTTTCTACACACAACATCTATTTTAAGATTCAGTCTGGAGTTCCGAGATTCTTGCGAAAAAGACAGTTCTAAGCATTCAACTCTTCAGCTCTCTGCTAATGAAACTGTCAATGTCATTATACCCTATGTGCATATTTGCACTCAATTTTTAAAGAAACATAACATTTCAAACCTCAATTGTCAGTCAACATTGGGCACAATCATTAAAAATCTTAGAGACATGAATAAATGTACCTCACTAAGCTCAAACACTTTGCTTGCATATCCAAAACCTGAGAATGTTACACCCAAATGGGCTTCACATGTGGCAAGCAGAGAATATTTAAGCAGCTGTACACAAAACGCCATGCCTTAACTCCAGGCCCAATAACCACAAAAGAGCAGTATGAGCCCACTTTAGGTAGTAAAATGTTTGGAATTAATTACTGCACAGTATATCATCTGTCCCATCACATCAACCATCAGTCACACTCTGTCTAAGAGTCTGGGCCATGTGTACTTCACAGCAGCAGGATCATACCACTGCCTGCTCTCTTACATGATTACCTCAGCTTCCACTACAGCCGAACCAGGCACTGAAACACAGCAGAGGCCAGTGTCCTGTTTATTCGGCATGGTGCCAACTTCTTCAGCTCACCTGTAATGCTGTTGGCCCTATGTTTGTTCAACCCAACATCACTGACTGGTTCTACTAAAGCAGGCAGCATTTTCACCTAAGAAACAACAGCAGAACAATGCTTTTCTCTTACGAATAGGTTGGGTGGCCACTGGAGATTGTGGAGATGACAGAAGTTTAAGGACACCCGTGTTTTAGTAAGAAACCTTTGGGAGGTCCTTCGGTTATGCAGTGGAATGCCATCTTCAATGACACTAAGTGCAGACTTTATCTTCAAATGAAAAAACAAGGTTGCGGTAGAGCTGTATAATGAAGAATTTCCGTAATCTGTATCTGTTAGGTGTTTCATGGGTCAATTGTTTTCTTGCAGCAAAACCTGCCACAGTGAAACAGTGGACTAGACACTTTTACCCCACTATAAATCTTCAGGTTCACTTCAATTCAAAGGTTCAATTGAAGGATAAAATTACAGTATGCCCTATTGATAGGGTTTAGCGTGGCCATCTAACCACCAGCTACATTAAGCGATGCCGAACAGCTACAGCAGTTCAGACATGTTATCAGCAGACTCTCCCCATGGCTCGTTAGTGTGATGCTGTCATGGCTGGTAATGGAGGCCACACACTTTGTTGCTCCATTGATTGATCTTAGAGCAGTGACAGGGGCTGATAATACACACTATGACAAGTGACATTACATGGATTTACAAACAAACAGCATTTTCACTAATCAGTGAGTTACATGACCATTAGGCATTCATATATGACTCATGGCACATTAATGGGTTCAAGAAAGTACACAGGGCAAGACAACATCTGTAACCTTTAGAGCTGGGTATTCTTCCCCAGACTGACCCCTGGCTACATTTGGGAATGTAAGATTTCATGTTTTCCCTTGTCTCAATGACCTCCTTGACAGACAGTCATCCTTATCCATCTGATCCCCTCAAACCACAATGTTTCCGGGCACTGAACGTTCAAGCATCCACCCCCCATGTCTGCTCTGGAGTGGTGTAGTGAAGAACCAACCATCTCCTCCCAGTCTCACAGAGGATAAAGGCTTGTCTGTCTGATCTATCTACCATCTCTCCAGCTGGATCTGCTAAACTGGCACAATCCAGGTTTGAACCAGGGTCTGCCTGAATGGACCAGCTGTTGTAGAAGTGCTCAGTTTCACTACACAGCTCCTCGGATCACATTCATTTCTACACACACCTCAACAACAGCTGCCTATTAAAAAACTACTAAACATCTTTCAACCACCCGGGCCCTCTGGAAATGAACGGAATTCACATTTTAATGAAGCATTGTTGTTTTTATGAAGAAGCCTGGTTTGCATGTTCAACAAATGACCATGTGTCTGTAGATATACCCATTTAAGTGTTCCAAACATGTAGCACACAACACAAAAGACGTCAGCATATCCATAGTTTAACTGGCTTTAATCATTATGTGAGTAAGACCATTTCTGGCAGCCAGCCAGCTGCTGCAGTTCATGAATAATTAAAAGTTGCCTGTGATGTTCCGATCATATTATAATTAAATTTCTGAGAACCATTTAATTAAATCAGGAATACACTGCCGAGGAATAACAGGATTTCACCTGGGCCTAGGTTAGCTTTGTGATGTGTGACTTGTGCATACAAAAACAAGCTGCCTGAAAGGCAAATTTAATTTTTATTAAACAGTAAATGAGAACATTCCTGCTGCTTTATATTAAGTCCATATGATTGATCAGCAAAGGTAACCAGTGGGGAGTAACTGGTTAAAGTGTAAAAAAAAAAATGGAACAAAATCTCTGTGTTGTCTTCCACTGTCACATGCTCTGACATTCACAATATAGCCAGTTTCTAACTCTACATAATATAAACTCTGTATCACTGCCAGAAGAACATGTTTACAGAGACAAAAAAAAAAAATGGATATCGGGAAATTAATGCAACCAAACAGAGCACTCTGGCACAAGTTTAAAGGTCAGCCATGGCACTAGAAACATGTCTCCTAGCTCCTCTTTCCACAATAAAAAACCTGATTCTTTCAATATTAGTGGGACATATTCAGCTAAAAGGTCACCTTTTGTGATGAACATTTGATAATTACACTCTAAAAGCAAAAGTGCTTTTTCTACTCATTTCTCTGGGATTCCAGAAGCACAAATGTGCCATCGTATTAGAGCTTGTCTTGTCACCTCTTTCAGGCCCTGAATTAAGGATCTTTCTGAGAGTCTGTCCTCACATGACACTTTTAAAGACATCAATATGGCTCAGTGGATTATGCTCCTAAGAACATCAAGTTTTTTTTTTAAAAAAGGCCAAGAAAATTTTAAGAACAACACAACTGGTGCACGTCATCCAGGCAAATCTGTTTTGCTCATCTCCAAAATGATCACCGAATGTAAATGTTGATATGCCTGGCACAAAAGAGGAGGAATATAATTCATTTTCTACAGGACACAGGAGAGAAACGTGATCAAGGACCCCTTATAAGGGAAGACTCCCACGCAAGTGATCGTTAAAGATGTACCCTTTACTAGTAAGTACAAGTTCCATCAAGAGCTGATTCACTGTGCACTGTCAGTGGGGGGAGGAGGGGGTCATTCTTCACACAGCATGGTGTAAACGTCAAAGGAGTACTGTCACACACAAACAGATCATGGAGACGCATGATGCCTTAGCTCATTTCCTAGGAAGTGTTTCAAGGAGAATGTGTGAAGGCAAAAGAAAAGCCTTATTCTTCACAGAGCTGCCTACCGTCATAAGACCGCCGACAAGATCGCTGGTGTGCGGGTCTTCGTCTTTAGTCCCCAGCTGCGGAGAGTAGAGTTCGGTGGTACGGAGAATCTCCAGAACCCGGTCCAGGGCCTCTGCTACAGGCATGGGGCTGCTCTCCTGCGCTGCGTTGATTATATTTATCACCTAGTTCAGCGGGAAGAGGTGAGATCAGCACAAGAGGTCACTGCCTTCGAGGGACGGCACGTCTGGACTCGCAGAGCTGCTCTCTTTCCCTTAAGGAACCTGCAGCCTCGACACCACTAAATTATCAAAAATAATTCAAACACTAATTGAACACTTAATGTATCAGAAGTAAAAGGAACCCACAATATGTCAAAGGAGTAGAGGCAGGTCCAAGACATAACAAGACAAATGCAATTCATCTGCTAGCAATTATCAGTCACTTGCTCTTCTTCACTTCTGTTAATAAACTGTCTGCCAGTTACTAATATTTTGCATTGGCTCAGGTACTTTCCTGTAAAACCCAACAGGAAAGCAAAAAAAAAAACTAAGCAACCAATGTTTCAGAATTGGTGTTCCCACAATCTTATGACAAAGCAGCAGAGCTGACAGGAGGAGATATGCTAAACACAAACGTCTTTCACTCCTTAACAGCTGCGTGCAGTTCCCTTCGAGCTCTGCCTGCACTGAACTGCATTGAGCTGCCCTGAAAGAGCCAGTGGGGGCGGGTCCAGTGTGGCTCATCGGGGACTCACCTTCGTGATGGGCGCCTCGATGGTCATAGAGTGGATCCTGGCCATGGAAGAATGCCTTCGCTGTGAACTGCCTACAGCCAAAAGGACAGCAACATTAAGCCTGACCTTAAAATATCACCGCAAGTGATACTGTCAAATCAGTGCTAGACAACAAGAAAACCACTGAGAAAAGAAAAACACAAACTTTATGTTTAAAAAAGCCCCCATCCACAAATAGATATGCAACTTTCCACGGCATGCAAACCCTCATCTACAGTAACACTCAAGTCTTTTTTTTCCAGTTAAAACGTTTTTGTTTAATCTGAGCTAGATGATTTCACTGCAGCAATCATACTCCATGCATCAACCACAACTGCTCAGTTCTGTTTTTTTTTTTCTGGGTAATAAAAAAGCTATTTAAAGAATTCATACCACATCAAAGTCATGTTCTTCACAGATGATTGGAAATTATAGCTGTGATTAAAGTATGTTCACATGCAGGATTAAGGACACTGTGCATTGCAATCTAATTTTTTAATGCTCACAGTTACAAAATGTTTCAGAATGTCAGCTGGTTTTGTAGTCATTTATCAGGATCCCTCGGTACAATTAATAATGAAGCTGCACTATAAGCAAAAGAGGTTTTGCAACGATTAATAAGAGCATTTCAATATTATGCAGCAAAGAAACCCAAATAACAGGCTGTCCACACATATGGCATCAATTGAATCAAGATCCGCTAAAACAAGCGGACTTTTTAATAACTCTGGCTCACCGTCGCTCCCTCGGGAAGTGGTCGACCTGACATCCAGAGAGCCTTTCCTCCGGTCCTTGTGCTTGCACGACTGGATATCTGGGGAAAGATGCACATCGAGGAGTCGTGTGGCTGCTGTAGCTCACCAAGCCTCTAATGCACCCTCTCACACCAGTGGAAGACAACCATTCTCTTTGGTGCAACAAAGCTCTCATTAATCCCCATGTTATATGTATGTATCCAAAGCAGTTCTGAAGGAGAAACAGTGGCATTTTAATCAGGCTCTGAAGGGGAATCTTAGGCATGAGGCAAAATAAGAACTGAAGCTCCCGTTACTGAACAGAAGCCCGACGTTGTGCTTGAAGCTGGAACGGACCAGTGCTGCCGGAGTCTGGGTGTAAATGTGCCTAGTCATGGCCTGCTTCCCACACTTCTTTACCTGTCTGAGATTCTGCCTGCACCCGGTCGCTGGACTTGTCAGTCTATGAAAGGAAAAGAAAAGGCACCTTCTCACTATTTAGTTATACCTAAACCACCAGTTCTGTATAAATAAAGTCCATTTCCTTACCTTATTATTGTCATTTAAAGGCCTGTTAATAGACACATAGTGTCTGATTTTTCTGCAACAAAAAAACAGGGATACTGTAAAATGAAGCCGTCTTTTGCTTTCAGATACAGATGCTGTAGATGTCAAATTCACTCACAATATGACGCATTCAAAAGCTTTCTGTAAGTTGATGTTTACTACTCACCCCCCCTGTCCAATCACAGGTGTGATCTTCACATTTTGCTGAACACTATCTCCATTTTTCTTTTTGGCATAATAAATCCCTTGCCACTCCTGGAACAACAACATGAACACATAAAAGTTATTATTTAAGCATGTAAAATGAAAACGGAAGACAACAAAAAAGACCAAAACATTTAATCAAAGAAATCAACGGATAAACATTTGTTTTTGAGCTTCAAGTATTTTGATGGTTTAAAAAAGAACAAGGATAGTTTTTTTAAATAGAATGTTCCTTGAAAAAGTCAAATAAATCCATGTGTTTAGCAATTACTGTATCTTATTTTGCAGGAATGAATGCAAGACCAGGGCTGCATGATGGCCCAATGGTTATCATTGTTGCCTTGCCACACTAGAGCTCTGGGTTCAATTCCTAGGGTGTTATCTGCATGTTTTTCACATTTTGTATGGGCTCCAGTGGCAGGTTAATTGGCTTTAGTAAAAATTGTCCCTGTCGTGAGTGTCTGCCCTGTGATGGTGTCCTGTCCAGGGTGTGTCCTGCCTTTCGCCCATTGCTTGCTGATATACAGTAAGTTCTGGCTCCACTGAGACCCTGAATTTGATAAAATGGTATGAAAATAGATGGATCTGGTATGCAAGATCAACTTAAAAAGTGGACCGCATCTGAGACGTCACTCATAGTTCCCATACGTTGCTGGTGTAATTTAAAGAAAAATATTAATGGCACACACTAACATATGCAGCAAGATATGACCACAGAAAATATCAAAGCCCTCCAAAGGGCTTTATTGTGAATTTGCACCAGGCTGGTCTTTTTTCAAGTCTGAAGCTCCCTGTGCTGTACACCTAGTTCAAAAGTCACTGCCTACTGTTCCTCTGCCTAGGAAGGTGACCTTCCTGCTCTGTGAAGTGAATACATGCTGTGCGGCCAGCTCCTACAGAGCGCACACTTGAAACAGACAGAGAGCCTCTATATTCAGCCACCTGGTCAAAATACACTGGGTGCTGTTGGCGCTCTCTTTCAAGAGGAGACTTTTAGCCGTTCTCTAATGCAACAGGAAAAGGCCACAAAAGATTAAAAAAAATAATATTTGCTTAGAGTTTTACATCCTTAATGATCCCAAAGTGCTTTACACACAGAAGGAAACTTGCTTCATCTACCTGGGTGACATGCAACAACCATTACACAGCACTCAGGTGAAGATGTGAGAAATTACTTCATCAACGGTATTAAGGTGGAATTGGGTAGGTTACATTTTACAAGCCTAACGTTAACCCAAGTAGATGGTTATGTCCCTACTCTTAAGAACTGTAACATGGGACCTATAATGACCAAACTGTCAGTACCATGGTGTATTGTCCCAGGAGACAAAGACCAGGCTTGAAGGTGGCAGTGCTGCTGTCATTATTACATTACTAAAAGGTGATGTTGTGCCAACAGCAGTTTAAATTATTATACAACCAGCTGTCTCTGACAGTGTAATTTCAGATGCTGCAGACTAAGCTCTTGAGCTTTGCCAAAAGCTGTAAAATAGCCTAAGTAAATAGAGTTGCATAAATCAGAGCTCACTGTATACAAAATTTAGCAAAGGACAAAGATGGAGAACGAACACACATTAGCATAACATGACACACAAAAAAGGTGTACCTTCAATGGATAATTTAAACAAAATTAAATAATCGATTTACATTCTATATACATAAGAAATGTAAAGTTTGCCAAAAAAAACTGTCAAAGCAGTCTTGTGAATGTCAATTAGAGTGAACTCTCACTCACCTTTCCTTTTCGTATACAGGAATTTATTGTATCAAGGAGATCAGGTTTATTTTTCTCGCTTTTAGGCACTTCTGTAATCTCCTTCCCTATCAGCTCTCCTTGCTGGTATCCCATTATGGACTCATAGGCAGGGTTCACATACTGCGCAGAATCAAAGGTTAAATACAGACATCAGGGCATTCAGACGCAAAGCATTCAATGAAAAACACCGTCATCTGTAAAACCAGATTTCATTTACATCACTGGTCATAGTGCTTGCAGGCAAACAATGCTTTTCATCAAGGGAGAACATCAATTGTATGAGTCACATGATCCCATCTTAAATCAGAAAATTCCCGACGATTACATGGGGAGTACACAGAGCAAGCACTTTCGATTTATGGACCCCAGCCTGTTTGGAAAAACAGGAATCTCTGCACTTTGGGGAAAGTGTGAGCTTTTTGGTGTGGTCAGGGACTCATTTTGCATAGAAACAAAACCACTGACAACCAACCTGGATCACTTGATCTTCACTTGTGATTTCAATGGCTTCTTGGCTTTGCTCTAGTGCAGTGAAAATAGCATTGCATGCCCTTCAAGAGGAAGAGGAAACAGACAAAAGTTACTGAAAAAGTATGAACTCTGAGATAAGATAGGGCAAACAGTGTAAAATCTGCCATCAGCCATATCGGTCGTCATTATGTTCTGTATGTACTGTATGTCAAGGTACAGTGCTGCAGCATTTCTCCCTTTTTTTAAAAGAGGGATTTACCAAAGTATGATTTATGCAGTAACTCACATAAGTTTTGTCATGAAAATGTCTGTATGAAAATAAAATACACTTCTCACTAAAGTTCCTTCTAGTGGTGGTGCTTTAGTGAATCATTCAAGATGCAGAGTACAAGAATGTTACAGGTACAGTAAGTAAAATATCAATCAAATATCTAATGCATGCTGCTACAAAAGAAACTGAAAGTAGTTCATGTTGCTGCCAGTCTCTTTAATCTGGAAGGTGTGCATCATCCAGGTGGGGCATTAGCAGTGGTGGAGGGGAGTCCCAATTACCTGTAAAGCATTTCGATTGGAGTGTCCAGAAAAGCGGTATATACGTGTAAAGATATTATTACTAATATTGCTACAGACACAGGTGTTATTTGCTCACCTTAGTTTGAACTGTGCCCGGACTTCTCCGTACTCCAGCTGGATAAGCTCATTGTAACAGGACATCATGTTGGGATTTTCAACATATCTCTGTTGAAAACAAAGGTCAGTCACAAAGTATTCAGCACACATTACTAAGATCTTGAATTTGCTCCCGGAATCTAAATAAATCTAAATAAACAGCGCATACGTATGTTCAAGGGGAAAGTGTAGAAGCTGAGAGCATGCCTTTCATCTTGTTGTCTTCCCAGGTGAACTATCAGATCTATCAGATCTGCTTAACCTTACAAGATGGTTGGTCAGGAACGAAGGAGTTATTTGAGCTATACAATGAAATCTTAAACACAGTTTATTGGAAAAGTGATAGGTCGGGTACATTATTTTTAATCTCGAAATGAAATAATTTGTATTCCATTCTATGCATTGCACAACAGTTAGTCAAGTTCAAAAGGTCAAGCTCAAGTATGCAGGATATTTGACTAAATAATTAAACAACAAAAATAACCTTTTTTTTTCAAAACACATTCTAAACATTTACTCCTTAGGGAACCCAGGGGCTCCTTTACCAAAAACATTCTGCTTAATCAGCACATATCACCAATGAATTGAATCCACATTAAACGTTCTGACTAGTTTTGCATTTAATATTAATATTTAACATTCTGAAAGTTCATTCTGAAAACATTTGGGTTTGCTCTATGTAAACATGAAAAACCTCAATATTTCTAAAAGATTTCCTCTGAATCAGTGAGAGATCTGTGAAAGAAATGGTGGAAAGAAATTGTGCGACTCACTACGGTGCTAAGGTGTGCCATCTGCAGGAATTGCTATAGATAAGGTTGAGACAGTCTCCAGCAAGAGCAAAAATCCATGTCAGAGGATAAAGAACACCCCAGGGTGCATTCAGACAAGGATAAAAGGATGAGGAAGTGCCAACTATCCTTCACTTGCATTAAAAACAGGATCGACCTGCTTTGGTCCTAGAGAGACCCTTACAACTGCAGATGCTATTGACCATCATTAATTGTCAATCATCCATCCATCTATTTTCTAACCACTTCTTTTAATTCAGGGTCGTGGGGGCAGCCGGAGCCTCTCCCAGCAAGCAATGGGCGCAAGGCAGGGTACACCTTGGATGGGATGCCAGTCCATCTCTGGGCATCAAAGCAGACAAATGTAGGTTACTCTAGCAAAATGAGGAGTGCTTAACAATGTTTTCATTCGAAAGATTTCAGAAACATTTGATTTATTTTGCTGTCTTTTGAGATAACGTCTTTATCTTTAGAACCTGCTGAATATGATGTCTAAAGCACCCCTGTTCTGCAACTGGAAACCTCTAAGATGGAACAGCTGCTAGGACCCTGATACCTCTTTACCCTGTTAGAGCATCCAACCATCCATTTTCTGACAGCTTTACCCAGTGCAGGGCTGCAGGGGGAGCCACGGACACAAGGCAGGGTACACATTGGAAGAGACGTCGGTCCACGTTAGAACAAAGTTCCCGAAAATGTCCATTCTGCCAGCAGACCAACTTACGGTATATATTTTAACTTGTTTTTGGTGCTATTTAAATGATCACTTATTAAATATTGTGAGAAAATACATACCTATTAGACATATTTGCATCATCCCACACTTCACCTGGCTTTCCTCTGCTTTTAAATCAATTTGAAATTCGTTAGGAGCCAAGTAAAAGTGCCCTCCCTGCCCACACTGGTGAAGAACAACTATCTGGCCTGAAATTAGTGCATGTTTGAGCACAGCACTGGCCTGTTTCCTCACTTAGTCCACGTGCTACAAGCGCGAAGCACTGCCAGCTGAAGGCTCTTGTTGGCTCTGAGCACATGGCTGTCTGCAGGAACTCCCCAGCTCTTAAGCTCGTCACGTACCCTGTTGAAGCCAGCCGAAACCAGAGGCATCACTGACGCTTCCTCGCGGTCCTGCCTTTGAGAAACATAACGCTCAGCTTTAAAAATAGAGTACGATAAGTCTCATCATCTCCACATTATTTTGCAACAATACCGAGTGATATTTCAAACAACAAGAAAACGTAAAAGCCTGTTTTGAAGAGCTAAATGTATTCTGCTTGTTCTTTTCTCCAAACAAGTATGTCAAACACTAATTATGCACTGCCGAAAACAAAAAATAGTACATGATGAATGATGAAATAGTTCATGCATACCTTCTCACAACTGCAACAATCACTGTGCTTTCTGAACACTTCGCTGCTCTGAGTGACCTAAATGGAAACAGAAGAATCCATGAGTGATGCCATCAAAATGAGCACTGCTGGAGTCACCACTGTCCAGATTCTAAGAGACAACACAATTGTGTGTTTAAAGAAACATAGCTCACTTGAAATTTACAGTTCTTGCTTTTCAAGTCTTTGGAACATCTCTCTTTAGTCCTGCTCAGAAATAATGTACTGTATAATATAAAAAGGAATGTCAGAAAATTCCTAAAATGTCTGTCTATTGTCATGATCTCACTCAAGATTTCATAAGGTTAGGCAGTGGTATGTAATGCAAATTAAAATATTCTTTATAACCTGACTTTGTTGATGATAGTGTTTTGAAAACGTTTTTCTTGAAAAGCACTCATAAAAAATGAATTATTTTAAGCTAAAAATAGAGTTAAAACATAGGTTTGCACTTTCAGTGGGTGGCATTTTACTTTAATAACACACAGTTGAAGCTTAGCAAGGGGACTCCTGGACTCATATTCTAAATCCATAGGCAGAGCTCCATGTTGTGTTGTACTACTGATGTCTGTCAAATGTGGTTATGGCAGCACACTAAATCCAAAAATAGATATGGAAACTGGAAGAGAGGAGTCTCCTGCAGTCACATAAAGTCTTGTACAGAAACAATATAATAAACCCATTTGTTTAGCCTGTGGGTTTCAGTTTAAAGTGATGATAACAGAGAAAACGTAAAAGTTGTTTAAGAAAATGTTCTGTTTTTTGTCAACTGACATTTATGTAATCATTAATTATGATGCCATTAAAGGAAACACAAAAAAGATTGTTCCCAGATAACTAACGAACCATCTTTGCAGATTCAGCTTTTTATGTTGTTTTAGATTTCTGATCTTGTTCAACAACTATGTAGTGCTAAAAAAGCCAATTAAGCATTTAAAAATACATCAGCATGACAGATCTTCTAAACGTACAGATACGAGTCTAGTTTCACATTAATAAAGTTCCCAATTGTTTTGGAGCTCTGAAACATAAAAGACCACAGAACTCACACTTGTTCACTCATTCAGCACACTAATTTGACATGTTGTGACATAATTAAGTGGAGAAAAGCAGAAGTGACTCCTCTGAGAGCAATTGTGCTCTCTGGGCCCTCTCCTTTTCTCACCTTAAAACACACAACACACAAAGCTGCTAACTTTAGGTCAGTCAATGCTTCTTGGGTAGAAGGGACATGTCAGTGTGTCACCTAACCTTTAAAAATCAACACCTAACATCTTCGATTAAGTGATATACACATACATGTGTTCCCACATATAGAAAACTGACTTGCAAAACTGGAAAATAATTCACCCCCTTCCAATAATGTGTCATTTTGTTGAATTAGAAATGTATGTACATTTAATTATCAAAACCTGAATGCAAAACTTCAAAGAAATATCTAAAACCAAAATGATGATAAGTATCCACTCCTTTTGCTCTGTCAAAGTAGATTAGTCGCACAGAATTCCTTTGATAAGTCACACAATTGGTTGCATGACTTCTGTCTGTGCTTTAATAGTGCTTCGCTTTATTTTAGAACACATACACCTATCTCTGTAAGTTTGCTCAGTCGATGAATTTCAAGTTTCAAGTCAAGAGTTCCACCGTGAAGAGTAAGGAGTTTTCAAAACAACTCAGGGATTAAGCTGTATTAAAATTCAAAGACAACTAATATCTCTTGGAGCACCATGAAGCTGATCATTAAGAAACTGAAGATGGATAATATCACCCAGACACTCCTTAAGTAAGGCTGTCCCTCCAAACTAAACAGCTGGGCAAGGAGGGAACTGGGTAATAGGTACCACTGTGAGGCCAATGGAGACTTTGAAACAGTAAAAAAAGTTGAGTGGCTGAGATGAAGAAAATGTCTGGGAGTCAACAATAGCCTGCTCACACCGCAAAGCTGGTATGCGTAGCAGAGTGGTAAACCCACCTCACATCGTTCATGCAGTTTGCTACAAATCATTTAAGTGATACTGCAGACATGTGGCAAAGGCTTCTGTGGTTAGACGAGATAAAATTGGAACTTACTCGTCTTAATGTAAAGTATTCAGTCTGGCACCATCCCAACAAAGCCTCCCCCAGCCAACAACATCTCTACTGTCAAGCACAGAGGTGGCAGCTTTGTGTTATGGGTTTGCTTCTTAGCAACAAGCTTAAATCTTGCTTGAAAACTTGCTTAAATCTACAAAACACCTAAAACTGGGACCAAGATTCACCTTCAGCCAGACAATGACCCAAAGCACAGTTAAGCACGAGCTACACTGGGATTCCTTAACCAGTGGAAAGTGCATATCCTTTTGTGGCCTGGTCATGCCCAGACTTCAATCCAGGAGAAAATCTATGAGATTCGAGGCTTGCGGCCCATCAATGATCAGAAATTGCACTACCCTGGCATGCAAAATAGTACAGTAGATACCTATGGAAAGACTTGCAGCTGTAACTGCTTCCAAAGTGGTTTGCACCAAATATTCACTTAGGAAGCTACATACTTATATAATCGACATATTTCAGTTTTTAATTTTTCTTAGCAATTTTTGTTTAAATCTTTTTAAACCATTGAAAGTGTTCAGTCTGAGTGTTCCATTTAAAAATGTCTATATATCATTTGTATTCTGACTAAGTTGGACACAACTGGAAGGGGGGTGAATATTTTGCAAGGCACTGCAAAGTCAACTATATGACTTCCTCTCACAAACCCAGGCTTCTCCAGGCAAAACAGCTTAAAGTAACGGACGGGATTATGACCAGTTTTATTTTTGCACACGCAGTCACGTGAAGAACTTTGACAATGAAGCTGGGAGAGACAGGCGATCCCGCAAGGAGATCTGAAAAACAGCACATCTTACCGACACAGCGCTTCAGCATCGAAGTATCTGGAATGTCTGTGATCGATGATGATGATGTCATGGTGTTTCTCCAGGAAGCACTCCAGTGCTGACTCTGGTGTTCTGGCAATGCTACACCTGAAATTAGCCTTCTCACACGCCCAGCAAAAGCCACTGCTCTGGCTGTCATCTTTGGCAAATACTAACAGCACCTAGCCGTTAAAACACAAATAACATTAAATCAGTGCAAGAACCTCAAGCACATGTGACAGTAAAAGCAAAGTCTACACAGTCAGGACCAACATGTGAGGAAGTTCCCATTATTTGTCACTATTGTTGCACCTAATTGACAAACATTTTAACCCTATCACAGTTACAAGTCTTATAATAAGATGACAAACCGTTAAGGAGGTGGTGGTCAGCAGGTGATGAGATCATTCCACAGAATAATGTAGAAATTAATTGAGTACGCTACAATAACATACTGCTGCCCAGATTCCGACTAAGGTGTATCCTTAAGAGTAATACAAGAATGGATAGAATGAATATTTTTCATTCTTTCCATTACATACAGTACCACAAGTCGGGATGCAGTATATCTGGGCTTCACGCACATGGCTATAGGTTCCTACAGGAAGAGCTGGGAGCCAGAAGACATTATGGCATCATGGCTGATCTGACATTGGCCACAAACAGCATTGATTAGTTTCTGGGAACTGACCACAGGGTTACAAAACAAGGTGGCATGGCTGCAGTCAAGCAGTTTCTACCACTAATCCTGCCAAAATATTTTTAATATTATCCCTTACCTACGTAGATAAATTCCGAATATTTAGGAACAGTTCCAGAATTAGCAGCGCTAAGAACAGTTTCATGAGTCATTGTGCAATAAACAGTTGTATCCTGAACAAGCTGGTTACCAAGACAAAGTATTATGAGAAAGGTGTCCTGTTTTAGAGGCAGAGCTACATGGAGCCATCAGATCTGAACACACACTGCTGTTAAACAGTATATATGTATCAGTAAAGATACAGTGTCATTACTGGATGATAGAGGACCCATTTAAACAGAGGCTATGCTGTATTATTGTTAAATGTATATTACTCATCCATTCATTATCTAACAGCTTCATCCAAGACAAGGTTGTGGGACAGCTGGGCGTAAGGCAGGTTACACCCTGGACAGGACACCAATCCACCACAGGGCGCACACAGACGCAGACACGCACACAGTCACATCAGGAACAATTTTCCCAGAAGCCAATTAACCCACTAGTATGTCTTTGGACTGTCGGAGGAAACCCATGCAAACACGGGGAGAACACACAAACTCCACACAGAGAGCACCCCAGGTCCAGAATTGAACCCAGGGACCAGCACTGCAAGGCAGTAATGCCGACCACTGCACCACCATGCAAAAATGCATCATAATGTGCATTAAACTGTCAATGGAAATTCGGCAAAGTATCTTTTCACACAACTAAAACTGTTATTTTATGTCTGGGTATCACTATTTAAAGCAATATAGAACAACTTTTTTAAAATAAAAAAGCACAGTGATGAACCGTCCCTTGCTAGATTCTAGGCTGAATGGAGCAGCTGCAGGAATGAATCAGTAGACGAAGCATGATGGAGGCGGGGTGGGAGGGACGAGCAGTTAACAGTATTTCTCTGATCTTTGGCTCGGTGAAAGACATGGGGATGAATGAAAGTGCAGATGAAGCTTCACCAGATAAATTGTGTGGTCTTGCATTGTAATTTACTGCTCTCATTTAGTTCAAGTAGAAGAAAAGTCAAAACTAACTCATAATTAAAAAGTTCAATCCTTCTCAACCACCATTCAAACTTTACAAATCAGATGAACTCGCTCTTCCTTATACTTTAGAATTCTAGAATTCACGTAAGCTAATGGCGATGCAAAATACTTTACTCTTTTAATTTAATAATAGATTACATCAGACAAACAGTTCTGATGGCTTTTTATTATGATCTGAGTCCACTGTACAGTGTGCTCAACAGCCAAAGAAGCACTTACAATTATGAAGCTAATGTGAAACATACCTTGTAGCAACTTGATCTATCACATAATAAGAACTGCCTACACTGTAAATACATCAGCACTCAAAAAGCTATGCTAAAATTGCATCACATTTTGCCAGAATTCCTTCTAGTAAAAAAAAAAATCCATTACATTCCCTGCCAATACAGCCTGCTCCATGTGGTAAGTTGAGCCAATGAAAATGCAGTGTCAGTGACAGAACATAAACTTGCTGGTGAAGTTTTTACCAAAATTGATACTTTCTGCTGAGTTGCTCTAAGGGGAATTAATATCCGGCACACCCAGAATAATTACAATCTGTTTAGCTCGCAGTTTACCGAACATTCTTCATTAAACTTTAAAAACAGGGTTTTATCTTTCCATGAAGCTGATCTGTAGGTATGAGTTTAACGCACCACTGTGAGCTAAAAAAAACATGCAAGAAAAAAAATCAGATTTTGTCCAGTAAGCAACTTAAATGTAGTTGATGCTACGCAACCAGAGTAGCAATTTATCTAATTGGTCCAAAATAACTTTCAGGAGGATCTTGTCTGGAAACATGCACTCTGCCTCTGCCCTGTATTTAAAATGACAAAATTAAATCCAGCGCAGTGCAGGTCAGAAACAGTCAGCACATGATAATGAGAAACAGAAAGTACCTCAACTTTAAGCCACAGGGATTTTTTTTCCACAGTACACTTATGGATGTTTGTGTTAATGCATCAATAGTTCTCATTAGAGAAGCAAGTCCTTTTCTTGACATGAAGAATCAATGAGGGATTAGCACAGTTTAATAAGGAATCAGCCGTTCTAGTTTTACAAAGGAAATAGTAAACTATGCATGAAATAAAGGAAATCATAAAAGAAATGGAAGAATAACATTTGTTTTGTAATATTGCAAAGTGAACAAGGAGTCAGTTCCTTCTTTTTCATGGGCACTAATCTGCAAAAGAAATAATTGAAAAACGCTTTCAAAGCAGATCCTGTGTGCAAGGAAAGAATAATGTGATCAGCTGTAAAAGCCAGAATGACAAAAACAGGAAAAGGAAATCTCTTAGTTTCATTTTCCTCCTGTAATTAAACTTTAACTTTAAAGCATCGGTACACATCTCTCAGGTAAAAGTAACAAGACAGTCAGTGCTTCTTTGGGGAAAAAAAGAAAGAATAAGTTTTTAGGACATATCTGGACATACAAGGCAAGACTGGCTTTGCACAGCATGGTTTTTAAATGACTTGTAGGTGGGGGGGATAAACATGTGCAATGTCTTTATACTGTACTTAACTACCAATCTGCCCATTTTCTCACTGCTTTACCCAATTCAGGGTCACGGTGGAGCTGAACCCTAGCCTGGCAAGCAACGGGCACAAGGTGGGGTACCCCTGCATGAGACACCAGTCCATTACACCCAACAAATTATGGTCTTATTTTTTGCTTAGTGCAAAAAGCAGCATAAGTACGTTCATGTGAAGAGTTCGAGGAAGCTCTTCAACCAGAGTCACCCTCTGACTTGTTATTATACTACGTTATACTTGTTAATTATTCCAGTCAGGGGCAAAGTGCTACAACAGTCCATATTGCAAAATGTTCCCCCCATTATTTTTTGTGTTTAAGACAAATGCATTGTGGAGAAAAGAGATACAACATTTTGTTAGATCTTGAGGTCATAGACTTAATGAATTGCCTGTTGTTTATTCCTTTTGGTCCACATTTATTTACTTTCCCCGGATATCATGTTCTCTTAAAGGCACATTTATTGTGCTGAGTCATAAAACATGACATGGCATTTGTGGCACAAGCTGGAAGACTGATTATATCTAAAACTGCACAGCAGCTGAGCCAGCTGTTAACTGTTTGTAGATAGACTGCTTTCATACAGGCCTGTTCAGCAACAAGAGAAAAAAAAACACTAAAATGACAAATCAAGCAATACTTAGGGCAGCAGTGCGGAGTAATAGTCAGGGTTCAGGACCTGTAACTGGAAGGCCCTGGGTTCAAATGTCAGGTAAGACACTTTAAGCAAAGTACTACACTTGAGGTATACCTCTATAAATCTCTATACTGTATATAAATAGGTGCAAATCATAGGTACTATGAATAAAGGCTTCAGCTAAATAACATACTGACTTATACTGCAGTAAAGGTTCTTTTCATTTAAGAGACAGGCCATTAAAAAGCCATTATTTCATCTGGCCTCCTGTAATGATTTGCACACACAACCAACATCTGACCTCTTTCACCTCTTTCCATTAGATAGTAAAAGAAATGATAACATAGACTCCACCCTCTCTCGCAAGTCTCAGCATAACCACAGCTGTTTTTCGACTTTAGCGGGACCTGAGAGAACCATGTTCCTCCTCTCCGCACTCGTACGGTAAGCCGAAAGGGCGCAGAGTGGAAGAGGAAGAAAGGAGCCAATTCAGAAACATGATATAATGAACTTTTTAAACGTCGGCAGGGGTCAGACATGGGGTGATGGAGCATGTCCTGGGTTTCTGTTCCTTTCAATTCCGACGCACTGCGCCTCCTGGTCTGTTGATAAAGACTGGTGTTTGGTTTGGTTGCTACGGCAACACTGGAGTGTGACTTACAATGAACCCATTTATAAAGTTTAAAAAATGGATGTTTGTTTGCTGGTGTCTCAAAGCTAAGAGAGTGACATGGGTGTAATGGTGGATTAGGCTCCTAAAGACAAAATATTATCAGTAATATGCAAGAAATCCCATGATCATGAGACCTCGCCTTGGTTGTTGTATTCCAAACTGTTTTTTTCTTGGCCTTCAGAAGAGTGCCATTAGAATCTGCATTATTTTAAAATGTGTTGGTTTAAAACCGTAAATAGGCTAGAAACTGGGTGCTTGAGGTGTCATATTTTAATCTGGAAATGACAAAAATAGAGTAAAGCTACACCCATGAATAAAATAGAATAATAAAATAAGACCACAGAACATAAATGATCTTATTACGCAAGACAAAATAATGCCATTTAATATCGTATATTAGAGCACTCTCAGAAACAGAAGCCCATTATAAACCACCACTCTGTAGGAGCCTACCAAACAGTATATCGGGATCACCCTGTAAGAATTCCACAGGAAGCCTTAAATTCCATCGGGATGTTCTATTGTTGCTTTGTATGTGTACTAATGGTCTTGTCACACACTTCCAGTAAGGAGGAAACCTTTTAAACATGCTGCTCTCACATAAAGTCACTCATTCTTACTGTACATATTTGGGAAAGTCTCTCTCTTTAGAAAGCATGATGAAACTTCTTGGGAACTTGGGTTCTCTGTAGTTCAATTGGCCTGTTGAACACAGCAATTCAAAATCTGTTCTGCATTTTGAAGACCATATTGCATTCATAATCTCCCTGCAAAGCCCCTTTTATTTCTCCAAATACTTCTCTTCTGAAGTAACTGTGGCCAGTACCTGAAGCTGATCTTTGTATAGCTTCATTGGTCCAAACTGCACTTCTGTAAATTGCGTCTGTAGAAAAAGACAAAGAAAAAAAATACATGTTACGAGCAATGAAATATTTTTACATTAATACATTTTTTCAGCTTTTCCTTTATTTAACCATATCAATGTGAGTGAAGTACTTTGCTAAGGGTACAACCATAACTTTGTACCCGGAACATCCTCGACTTGAGCCCAGTGCTCTAGCCCCTGTCCTTTCTCAATTGTTTTAAATTGTTCACTTAAAACTAAAAGCAAAACCAACATTAAGCCATTTCTTCTATTAACCCCAATCTCCACTTTTTTAATGTTCTAAACATTTTGTTTTCCAAAATTAGAGCAGAGGTTGAAGTTTTTAAAAGGGAAAAAAAATTATAATCCTTAAAAACTCAAAATTCCATTTTAAGGCAGACGGTACTTCATTCACCCAAATCTGCAGGAACTGCCTGATCAGCCCCGGACAGAAAAGTGTGGTTATCATCTGACCTCAACAGATTGCTCATATCACACCCACCAATTCTAGTCAACCAACTTTTCTTGTTGTTGTTTTTTTTTTTTCATTTCTGTACTGCAGAATTAGTCCACAAAATATTATTGAGGCATGAACATCAGCAGAGGTCCGCGTAATTGAGAGTCAGAGTGGAGAGACCTGCTACATCTCTCTGTTGAGCTAAAGACATAGAAATCCACTGTCCAGTTTTCAGAATCAAAAACACTGGCAAGCTCATATTTTCATAACTATAGACTATTTGATCTGGAAGTTGTCAATTATTTTAAATTATGATAACGTATACAAGGAAATGAAAATTCAGTGATGGGAGAGTGATGAACAAAAATGTACTCAATTTCATCTACAATTTATTAAACTTTTTTTAAAAAGAAAATCTACTCTGCTAATAATCCAGCTTCCTTCTTTCTAATGGAGCACCACACAGGGAACAGTATCCATGGCAACAAGGCCTACTGTGGATGTCTATCCCTCTAGAATTCTCCTTTTCAGTAAACAAACTGAGCACGTGAGAAACATTCACAGTGGAATTTAAAACGTACAACCTTAACTCACTCAATAAAAATAAGTCCTTTTAAAAAATCTGGCTATATTAAAATTAATGAAAGTTCAATTGCTTTGAGGATCCATACCAAGATGTTTTATGTTCTGTATTTCCTATGGATCTAAAATGTATTAAATCTCATTCTCATAATTCAAAAAATAGATATCCATTTCCAATTTAGCTGAATATTAAAAGCATTCTACAGACAGAATGACATGGGAAAGATCAGGAGACTCAAACTCAATTCCTGGAGGGCCCAATGTCTTCTGGTTTTTGTTCCATCCAAGCTCTCTTACATGGCAGATCTGACTATTTAATTATGTGCATAAGTGTAATACTTCTAACTAGGCTCTGGGGTGTTTATAAGTTTTCAGTACTTTTAAAAAGCAAATGCTTTGAATAAACAGTGGTAAAAAATCTTCAAAAACATATCATGTTAACTTGAGAAAATATGTGAAATAATCATTTAATGGACAGTTTAGACTCGAACAACAAAACAGAAGTCCCTCCAGTAAGCAAGTTCAAAATTCCTGCTATATAGCCTATATCCAGTTTGATCCTTCATCCGTGGCTTTTCTATTTGGCATATTTTCCACCTCTGACTGTAAAACATGATCCAAAGCTCTTAGCTCACTGACACCAGTGCCCTGTGTTCTGGTGCTGTACACCTCCTTTCACAGTCTGTAACTGGAAGGACACACACACTGTTTGGTCAGACTTTCAGTGAGCGATCAGCCTCAGATTTTAGATGTCCATGTATCTGTCCTTCCATCACCAGAAAGTCACTCACTCCTGACCAGAGTCAGAACATCCCGGACACAGCCAGGAAGCACAGGATGCAGGATGGGACTATACCTTGGATAGGCTGCCAGGCCTACAACCACAATGCTGATGCTGGGAGAACATGCAAACTCCTAATACAAGGTGTCCCAGTTTGGAATTGAACTCAAGGGCTGTGAGACAGAAGACCTAACCCACCACGGCACCACACTGCCCAGCTTTAAACTTGAGCTGTAGAAAAATAATGAAACATACTATTGGAGACCGTTAAAGGAAGTTGCTGCTGTAAGTGGCGTTGTGAACCAAGGGGAGGTGATCTTCCCTCTGAAACAGAATTTCCTCGTTATTGTTCCAGTCTCTACACAGAAACTGGCATGCTCCACAACAACAGCACTATACTCAACCTCTTGACTATGTCACACACTACAGGGGCACATGTTCTTCTTACAGTAAGTGATGAAGGACTGGATTTTATTTGCCACTTAGATTCCTATGTATAGTGAAATCCAACTAAAAAAAAACACCCTAACTAAAAAAACAATTGTGACAAATGTTAAATAATAATGGTATGACTAACCCTACAAAAGACAAAAAAATACCCATTTCTATTTAATACAGCAATAACTGTTGTTTGGTCTTCATGTCTGATAATATTAATTACGCACAGAATACTAGAGCACATTACATTGTGCTTTGTCTCTTTTAAAGGGCTGAAACAAATGCCATGGAGTGGTAAACAGGAGGGCACCACCTTGCTTTTGACTGTCTGGAAGCAAACTAAATGAGTTACATGTGCATTAAGCCAATATCTATACACTACAGCTTTCCTTCTTCACCCATTTATCTAACACAGAACTGTCAAAACCCGAACAGCCTAAAACCAAAAAGAATTTTTGAAAAAACATCTTAAAAGCTCAGGAAATGTCAGCCTAGAGTCACTTATCCGCATGTCCAAATTACAAGCGCTCTTCCTCTCACGATGACTGTACATTTCCAGATTGGGCAGAATATTTCACTGACTGGAGGTTTACATCTTGGTCTCATTACCGCAGGTCCTGCCATCAGCAAGGAGCAGCAAGCCTGTTTGCACGAGTGTGACTCCGGCACAGCTGTTTCAGTTTAAACAACCTAAACTAGACGAGCTGCAAGTGCACGAACTGGCCAGCGAGATGGGCGAAAGGCATCACCACCCCAAGCAAAACAACAACAGATTTGCGATTGTTTTGATGGATGATTTAATGAATGAAAAACACAAACTATGCAAATGAAATATCAGCCTTTTTTTATTATTTGCACAAAATAAAAAAAGATTTTTGGGAGAGAAAATTGTGGAACACAAACACCCTTAATACAAAGTGAGTGGTTCAGACCTATGGAACTGAATACATTTATTACTGCCATTAATAATCACTGCTACCAAAATCACATTTCCACCACTAAAATCAACAGCCTTTTAAGTACTGTACTACCAACAATAACACCAATATTTATTCTACTCCTGCTCTTAAAAGTACCAAGATAATCCAAATCATTGTGCTTCTTGCTGCACTTCACCAGTTCATAAATACTGTATGTATCGCCCTTTTTCTACTAGATATGTGTTGTCCAAATTGGCTTTGATGATTTCACAATTCCTTGTGATGCGGCATTGTTTCACGAACAGAACGCCAAGTACATATTAGTCAAGGTATGGTAAGGTCACTTCATCTCAGCACCACGAATTCCAGCATAAAGATTTTATTGTTTAAAAATAACATCAAAGGAACAGCAGACCTAAATCTCTGTTTGCCTTGCAGCACAGTAAAAATAATACTCCTTATTGTGGATGAAGTCAAGTTGGACAAAATAAATAAAAACAGTTTTTAAGATTTTTTCTACTTTTTAAGATAAAAAAAAAAATGTTCTCCTGTGCTGGATCTCTGTTTATTGTGTTAATCTCTGAAACTCCCATTCATATGCAAAGGAATGTGATTATTATTATTAATATGATGCTACCATACCAGATAATAAAGGTTATGGTCAAGCACGCTAATACGCGTGATTCTTTTACGAAAGGACATTCAGAGTCATTTTAGAACTTTTCCTGGGAACTGTCTCCTGTTGCATTGCTCGTTTCAGAGAAAAATGAGGTGCATTATTTAACCTTCATGTCACATCCAGTAGTTTGTCCCTCCAAGTCATACACTGTAGTGCCCCTTCTCCCTTGCATGGAGTTCCCGCTCATTTCCATTATATAATAGTACAGCGTGTGTGTTTCATATTCGCAGGCCCAAGGAAAACAGCAGAAGTTTAGTTCTATACACCTACTGTATTTACTTAGCAATGCTGCATTTAAGCCTGCTTCCTTCCCACTAGACACATCCAGCCCTATGGATCTCTGCTACAAAGCCCTGCAGATGAGGTGGAAGAGTGGCTTTCCACCAGACTGAAAAACAGGAAATTTGATGACATTGTTCAGTGAGCAGACGTCAGCAGAGACAGATATAAAGAGTAAACAGCTTCCTAGCAGCAGCAGACAAACGGACCGGAACTGCTGGAATCCTGGGATGGCTGTTGTGTTTCGCATGGAAATCACTCCCACAGTGTCAGAATGTCCCGATTTTAATTGTACAGCTCACATCACCGACAGGAAACACAGGGGCTGTCGCATAGAAGGTCTCAGTGCACACATGACAATACCACTGCCATGTAAAGCCCAGAAACCGATTTGAGTTTTCTGCACATTGCAAGAGAAAAACAAATGTGTCTCACACTTCCACTTCAAGCTTGCATTTTTGAAAAAGAGAAGATAGTTCAATGCATTTGAACACTTTGCTTTTTTTTAGGAATGCGGACAGGTAGGTGCAGAAAGCAACACAGTCCCAAGCTGGCAATGAAGGTTGTGTGAGCAACTCTCCAATACTCTCCTTGTCACAGGCTGTTTGAGGGAAACCCCTTCCTCATGAGTAAACATCGAGCTGGCAAAGCCGACAAAAAAAATGTTTATAAATAGGATTGCTTCCTTCCCACAGCCTGTAATTTTTGACACTACAAATAAGTTCTTTTAACAAGCGCCCTAACATTTCTCTAATTCATACAGATACTGCATCACTGAGGATGAATTTTAAATGGTAACATTAATGAAAAAAAAATCAACAGAAAGATGACTATATTGGAGCTGATGATGTCTAATTTCATGCACAGGCCTCAACTGCAGGG